ACGGAAGGGTTACGAAAATGACGATGGGTGTATCCAAGGTAACGCCAGATTATCTATGAAGGGCTGAAAGCGGCAGAGAGAGAGTGAAATTTTTGAATCCAGAAGACGTGTGCTCCATTTCCATTGAAGGCCCATGGACGTTGAAAAACACTCAATATCCACCGTATATTAAACGTACTCTCAACGTTTATGACGTTTGTTTTCTGTTAACGTACATTGTAAGTTTCGATGTCCACATTTGATTGTATCAAGGTCATTATTGACGATAATTAAAAAATTAATTACCGTATTAAAGACTCACGTAACTAAATTATTAGTGTTAGTACATTAATAACATTAGTTCGAAGTTCAAACAATCGTGCGTCTGAAGGGCGAGTTGGGTCCAAGGGTCAGAAGGGTTAGTTGAGTATAAGGATTAATTGAGTATAAGGGTCAGATGAGTATAAAGGGGAGTTGAGTCCAAAAGATTACGCGAATCTAAGGATCAGATAAGTGAAAGCCTGAGTTGAGATTGAATGTCAGTTGAGTTGAAAGGTGAGTTGAGCCTAAGGGTCAAAAGAGTACGAAGAGTCAGGCGAAACCACGGGTCAGTTTTGTAAGGGTCAGAGAATTCAAAACCTCCGTTGAGTTCAAATGTCAGTTGAATTTAAGGGCCAGTTGTGTGTAAGGGTCAGTTGAGTGTATGGGTCAGGTGAGTGCGAAGGCCTTATTGGGCCTGAGAGTCAGATGAGTCTAAGACGAGAATAAGGGTCAAATGAGTCTGAGGGTCAGATCGATTCTGAGGGTAAGGTGAGCCAAAGGTCATCTGACTTTTAGATTGAACTGATCCTTAAACTCAACCCAACATTTTACTCATCTGACCTTTAGATTCGCCTGACCCTTCGTGCTTTTTTTACTCTTAGGCTCAACCGACTCGTAGATTCGCGTGATCCTTCACACTCAACTGACCCTTAAATCCGCCTGACACTTTGCAGTTGTTTGACCCTTAGACTCAACTGACTTAGATTCGCCTGATCTTTCGGACTCAAATAACCCTTAGACCCGTCTGACCCTTGAACTCAACTGACATTTGGACGCAATTGACCGTTAAACTGAACTGAAGCTTTTGAGTATCTGACCCTTACTCACCAGACCCTCAAATTCGCATGATCCTTCGGACTCAACTAATCCTTACACCCATCTAACCCTTAAACTTAACTATCACTGAGACGCATCTAACCTTTAAACTCAACTCAGACTTCTACTTATCTGACCCATACTCAACTGACCCTTATAGTCATCTGACCCTTCGTACCCATTTGACCCTCAGATTCGTGTGATTCTTCGGACTCGGCTGACCTTTATATCCATCTGGCCCTATGCGGAAAGTTTTACGCTTATTAATAAAAAAAAACCCATCTGGCCCTAATATTAATCTGATCCTTAGATTCATTTGACCCTTAAACTCAATTGACCCTTCAACTCAACTGACACTTGAACACAACTGATCCTTAAACTCAACTGAGCCTTTTACTTATCTGACCCTTACTGAACTGACTCTTACATTCGCCTGACCCTTCGTACTTCTTTGACCATTAGGTTCAACTGACCCTTAGATTCGCGTGATCCTTCAGACTCAACTAACTCTTACACTTACCGGATCTTTACACTCACTGACATTTATATGAAGGGTCCGACTCTTAGACGCCTTAGACCTATATGGATCTAATTCCCTCTCATCTCCGCCCCCTGCTCCTTCCTTCGCAATTTCCTGTATTACTCTATTACCTACTTTCTTTCGGTTTTTTCCTATTTTTCTTCCTATTAGTTGCTTATATAAACCCGAAAAAAATACAACTCGCCACAAGCAACTGTACAGCTCAGAAGCATACCGGCGGGGGAGGGGGGGGGCGGGTATCCTGCGCTCACTGAGCTTGAGCAGTAGCGAGTAAAACCAGAAAAAGGATGGGTGACCGAAAGGGAACACGGCAAAACTACAAGCAGAGATATCTCGAGAACCAATGGACCGATACGTTTTTTTCTTTTTTGCCCATATTTATTTCACCGAGTTAATAATATTTATATTTTTTGCCATTCTTCCACCGATTAATTTATGCAAGATTTAATCAATTAATCGATGTCAAAAGGGAACTGGTAGTGTGAAGAGGGTAGGGGGGAGGAAGGAAGGAAAGAATGTACGGTGGAGGAACGTTGGGGATACGTTTACTTTCAACCTAATTTCAACGTACAATCTGGAAAAAATGGAAAAAAAGAACCGGTATTTACGTCGAAAGTAGGTTGAATTGGTGCATTTGAGCCTGTACACTGGACAACGTACTTTCAACGTCCTAAACCAACCAGTGGACCTTGAAACTAAGTTGGGAGACCCGGTAAAATTTCGACTCGAGAAGATGGGTGAAACCTTGGGGTCCCCTTGCCTCAAGAAGGAACTCAAGGCACAGTTGAACCGAAATCCCTCAGCTTGAGGTAGAGAGCTGCAGGAGGCGTTAGGGGAGTCGGAAGGCCAGGGATTACTGGGGGACCTGAAGGAAGGAAAACTCGAGGGGAAGGAATTCAGAAAGAAGGTTGGAGAGTACCTGGACAAAGGAAGGGAAGAAGTGCGGGCTACGGGCAAGGAGAAAATTCGTCGCTCCAAGTTCATTCCAAGCTATAAATACCTGAGGAAGGTAGATGATGATTTTCGCTACTGGAGAATGAAAGGAGTATCTTGGGGGGACAAAGTGATGTGGGCGAGGCTGCGCTGTGGAAATATCGGAAAAGATAGTAATAAAGGATATGAGGATATAAGTTGTACAGGGTGTCCCATAGCATGTGACCAAAGTAAATTGCATAGAATACCGCAAGGTGGCAGTGCAGTCTAAAGTCTAATTGGTTCAAGTGGAGACTCTCCGCAAATTTCAGTCATGCTTCCGTCGCTCGAGAATTGCAGTACTAAAATGGAAAATTTAACCATCGAACAAAAATCATTCCTCATCAAATCATACTACCGAAAAGGAGATTCAGCTACTGCAGCTATAAGAGCATTTCATTCTGAGTATGGCACACACACCAGAGTGTCTGATTCAAGTTTCAAACGGTAAATAAAGTGAATGAACTAACTAACCAAGAAATTTTTTCTTGTTTTGTTGAAAATTTACGTATTTTTGGACCAATTATGGGTATTTTCAGGATAATTAAGAAATTTGATCAGTACGGTACACTAGACGATAGAAGGCACGATAGATGAGCATCCTGGTCCTTCACGTACTGTAACCATGGATAAAGTTGTCCGCAAAACTGAAGAACATTTCAAAAAATATCCAAATACCTCTTCGAAAGGCTTCTCAAACCTTGAAAGTCTCAAAAACTTCACTTCACCGCATCTTGAAAGTGTTTTTAAACTTCCATCCCTACAAAATTTCTCTACATCAATTTTTAAGTGAGGAGGCGATGGCTCGCCGTGTGCAATTTTGCCAAGAACTTCACAATTTTTTTGAATCCGAGGAAATGAGGGCACAGAATATCATCTTCTCGGACGAAGGACATTTCTACTTAAGTGGCTTAGTAAACAAACAAAATTTTCGCTTTTGGGGGACTGAGTCACCTCACGTTATTGAAACCAAGTCCTCACATCCAAAAAAAGTCACTGTATGGGCGGCATTTACAATAAAAGGTATTTTCCTTGAATTTATTGAGAATCCGACAATCAGTGCTGATATTTACTGTGAGTTCTTGAAGAAGAAACTTCAACTGCTGAAGTATTTGAAATACTTTTTTCCGTTTACGGCACTCGTGTGTTAGGCTTAGGTTACCCTAAGTATGCCCATGGGGGCGTGGAATGGCCGCCTTACTGCTCGGACTTAAATCCCTACGTTTTTTGCCTATGGGGCTTTCTCAAAGACAAGTGCTATGAGAAACATCCGACGACAGTGGAAGAGTTGCAAGACGCAATGAGGGATGCTATTCGAGCTGTTGATAAAAACACAATATAGTGCATCTATACCAGTTTCGAACGCACGATAGAGTTTTGTAGTGCAAATGATGGCGGACACTTGGAAGGAATTGTATTGTAATTTTCCAAATGTTTCTTGTACAATAAAAAAAGAACAATTATTTACATTTTACTGCATCCAAGTTATTTGCAATTTACTTTGGTCACATGGTATGGGACACCCTGTAGACTATGCAGGGGGCCACAGAAGACCTGGAGCACATATTGGTGTGTGACACCATAAAGGAGGGGGGGGGGGTTCCTGAAGGAAGCATGGGATGATTGAAGAACTCTCAGTAGGGAAGAGTCAATTGTAGAGATATTGGGATGGAGACCGATTCCGGAACTCTGTCACTTCTTCAGGGAATGGGAAAAATTGATTGGATGAATGGAGAGGGAGCAGAGAAGCATATCTGTTCATACTTACTGATGAACCTCCTGTTCGTCCACTTACATTATTTTACCGTTAGTTTGATCTAGGACTACAGGGAGTAGGAGGGAAAGGAAACTGAGAGTCGTAATGAAGACGTCGCAACCGAGGAGTACTTTCTGTAAACCGATTCGATGGCGTTGGTGATAGCTGCGCGAGTTCCCAGTTTTTTCTTTTCCTTTTTATGTCTTATTCTGCACTTCAAGTAATTCAAGCCCTCAGATCCTAGGCGAAAAAAGGTCAAAGACTGGAACGCTAAGTTTTACTTATTCTAGACTCAATTACCCTCTTTGTAAGAATTCTCATGTTAATCAAGTATTATTTCAAGATATGTTAAGCTAGTCAAAGCAAAATATGTACTGTTATATTAATTATAACAGCCCTTATGGCATTTATGTGTTTTTTCTTTTGGCCAACTAATAAGGATTGTAAATCTGATACTGATTCATAATGTGATATTGTCACCAATGTTCGCTCACACCTGGGGTTTTACATTAAAAAGAAGGGAACAAAATATACAGACCCGAAATGATATACATATGGATGTATAAATAAAATAAAATGCTAGTTTGTAAATAGTAAAAAATAGTAATGGTAATATGAAGTAGTAGTATTTTTATTTGTTTTGTAATTTCTTTCCAGATCCTGAAAAAGCTAAAATATTTGGCGAAACGTCGCATCTGTGACAAATTAACGAACGTTGTTGTTTTTTTTTCATTAATCCAAAATTTTCCCTTCATCCCTACTAAGGATTTATAAATATGGAAATGAACAGCAAAATTAATTGTAATGTGAATATTTCGTCAACAAAATGGTGGATGTTAACTTCATCGGCTCTTTCATGAGAATAACTTCATACGAATTTTCAGAACTTTGTACTGCTAGTAAATATAATTCGAGAAATATACAAAAATTCTCATTGTGTACTCATTTGGCTTACCACCTTTTTCGATCATGCGTGAGATGATTTTCAAAAGCCATAATTATCTGTGGTAGATTAATGGACAACAAGCTATACCCTGTAGTGAAGAAGGCCTGAAAGTTACACCAATTCCGTACAAATTATTTGCGAATATCTCACGAACTATTGGAGCATAAAATCATCTGTTGATAGCATTCTGTGAAAGTCTCCTTTCCAAAAATCTTTGTCAAATAATTCGAGGAATTCTTCTTGGAATAATCTTCAATTCTACACGGCAGTACTTATCATTATCTTAATATTCTCTTGAAATGATGAATCGGTACAACTACCTTTCACTCTGGGTCCTTTTTTCAGGTTCATTCATCAGCTCACTTGCAGGAAGGCTCTCAGTTATAATACTTGTTTCGTTTTTCTCATTTTCCTTTCGACTTCCTTCAACAATTGGCTTTTTCTTGATAGATGTATTTAACGCCTCTGAACATTCGGTCATCGTTGTTTCAGGTACTGCTCCCTGTTTATCGATCTCTTTAGTATTCTGGGGTGCCGACGAACTCGTTATGTTCAGCGTGCTCTCAAAATTATCAAAATTAGCCCAATCAGCGCATTCTTCGGGCTGGGTGGCAGCTACGTCCCATGGGTTCACTTGAGGGAGCACGATATTACTTGAAATTGGCTCTGCTGAGTCCCAAGCTGAAGAAGGAACGTTTTATAGAATTGTAATAATCCATAAAGCTTCTTAATCGATTCTATTTCAACAGAAACTATGTACATTAAAAAAATTTAAATTATTTTAGGAATGTTTCGGAAACTTGACAATTGAAAAATACAATTCAAGGAACTATAACTAATGGAGCTAAGGGAACATAGGCTATATTCTGAGTGTTCTAAGTAATTAAAAGGAGGAATGGAAGAGCGAAGTTGCTTTGCAAACTGAAGTGGGTAAAATGGCGAGCTTCCAAATAGATTCACTTTGGTCTTTGGAATCAGTCAACTTTCACATTTTCTGATCTTGCTAGGATTCGACATGAATAAACTCATTCAATAATGCTAATTATTAATTGAAAAAGCATTCTTTTAATAATAATAATAATTATTCAACAAAATCAATTCCAAAATACAGGGTGTCCCAAAACGCCAGTTATCTATCAGGGAATGAACGAGGCTGTTCCGAGTCGAAAGTTTTTCTTTAACTCTTGGCTCCGGGGCGTAGTTAATGAGCTCTTAGTTGATGAAATTGGAAAATCACGGCGCATTGGAGTAGAAACTGAAGGACAAGAACGGGAATGGACGGAGAGGGGGGAAGATTGCTCCGACATGGATATCAGAAATCTTTGAGTTACTCGGGTTTTCCTGAAAAGGTCTTAGCCGATCCACTTCCCTCTCCTTTCACTAGCGCATCTTCAACTGAAATTCAATCGCTATAGACAGTGGCGGGCACTACTAATACATTAGTACTTAAATTTCTATGAGAAGTATTAAGTGCTTAGGAATTATTCCTTCATTAAGTACAAGTTTCTGAGTTACTTAGTATTTTAAACTATCTGAGTACTAGTCGTCCAAGTATTTAGTACTTAACCCTCGATCACTTGCACTCGGCCGCCAATCTTCATCCGCCCCACGGTTGGCGCAGCGCCGCTGGGGTAAACCGAGCGCTCTGTTGCCCCGTCGGCGTTTAGGGCTACTCTGTAATAGAGAGGTATCCAAGGTGTTGCAACAGGCGACATTGATACCCAGTCGGGTTCTCGGTAGAAACCACTGGAATATACTATATACTGAAAAGGGCACTGCAATGCCACAATCGTGAACGGAAAACGAGCCAGAGAGAAGTAGATTTTGGAGGCTACCTCTCTCACTCTCTCGATGGTGCGCATGCGCGTAACGTACCAAACCACACACGGTACAAGCGAGTTGAGAAGCTTAGGTTGAGTTATGCGTAGTGAATTGATGTATTAAAGATTGTTTTGATGCTGGAAGGATAATTAAATATTGGGAAGTTCTACTTTTTCATCATAGTATTGGAAAAATCAAATAGAGATCAGAACCTCGACGCATGTTCTTGAATTTGAGGAATTAATTCCTCTTGCAATAAGTTTATATCATTCAAATATCAATTTTCTGTTTCAGGAATTATATTGGACATACCGAAATTTGAAATTCTGAATACTGAGGACGGTATGGACTCAGAGGAGTTCGATTTCCCGTCAGATTAATTGAATAAAGCATCTATTGAATTGTATATTCTTATGTATTTTTTCCACGTCAATTTACTCATAACAGAATTGTAAATACCCCTTGTATCAGTATACATTAGGAAAGAATAAATTTTTCTACTGTCACATGTTATGAGTTTGAATTTTTCACAAAAATGACATATGCAACCAAACAGAACTGAATGCCAATGCTAAATTCTATACGTTGTCTAAGCTAAGAGAATACTTTCGGAGCCGACGGTACGACAGAGACAGGTGGCCCCCAAAATCGACCCTCTCTCTCGGCTCGCTAAGGGTGGCTCAGTGCCCTTTCCAGTATATAGTATATTTCAGTGGTAGAAACCAAGTAACCCGACATGAAAGTCTGGGTATCAATGTCACCCGTTGCCGTTCCGGTTCCGGGCGACCGCATATCCATCTATTTTAGAGTAGCCCTTACCGCTACGCGCACATTTCAAGTGTGGTAGTGAAAAACAGGGACTCACTCGCACCGGGCGACGCGGCATCGCTTTTCTGTCCGTTCAACATTCCTTTTTCGTTTTAGCTAAACGCATTTCCCGAGAAAAAAACGTACAACGCCAGCACTTAATAAAAGGATTGAAATAAGAAGTCTAATTTTTAAGCGCAGTGAATTGATGTGTTAAAGATTGTTTTGATACTAGAAGGATAAATAAATATTGGGACATTCTACTTTTTCATCACAGTATTGAAAAGATCAAATAGAGATCAGAAACTCGAGGCATGTTCTTGAATTTGAGGAATTAATTCCTCTTGAAATAAAAGTTGATATCATTCAAATATCAACTTTCTGTTTCAGGAATTATATTGGACATACCAAAATTTGAAATTCCGAATACTGAGGACGGTACTGACTCAGAGGATTTCGATTTCCCGTCAGATTAATTAAATAAAAAATCTATTGAATTGTATTTTCTTATGTATTTTTTCCATGTCAATTTACTCGAAATACCCCACAAAAATAACATTAACCTACACGCGGGATACCACCGAGAGGAGGGAAAACCGACGCCATTACTTGATGGCTTAATGGCTTGGGCCCGACTAATTACTAAGCCGGCCAACACGGAACTGATGTCGGGGGTCAGTACTGCGACACACTAGACCCGCGAGAATTCCGACCAATCGAGCTGAGCTCTGATTGGTGGAGACGTTTCACTCCTCAAAGGTGTGAGCCTTAAGGGAACCACCGAATAAATTCGGGGAGAACAAAGGCGTAACTATCCAAAAATCCGAATTAATATATTGTAACAGTTTAATTGAACAAAGCTCAGCTAATAAATAATTTTAACGAACTGAACCGAACTGATGGACGTTCGGATAATTACTAAGGGCTTTTGGCGCCTCCCCCGAATCGGTTCTCCGGGATTCACGGGGTTAAAAGACCAATACTCCTAACTAATCTCTCTAATTTTCCAAAAACTCTAAAGCAACCTGGCAATTCACTGGATACAAGGGTTGCACTTGTTCCACGTGACCTTTCACCGAAAAACTAAAACGTAACCAATTAATCCCCATAAAATCCATTGTAATTTGGAGCGCCGGCATTTCAGCCGAACCTGATCGATTTCCCGTAAGATTCACAATAGGGTGGACCTCATAAAGAAATCGGATGACTCAATATGTTGATCCTTCTTCGCGATGACTTCACGGGCCCTCAAAAACACGTAATTAATAGATTTTGCCAAAAAATTGTACTCTAGAGGCAATTCCAAAATTCCAAAACTCTAAAAATTCACCACGCCATAGCGGGAGCTCTAAACTCATCAATTCTCATAACGATAATCGTATAAATTACCACACTGAAGTGGGATTGCTCCATATCCAAAAACTCCACCGAAGTGGGATAAACTCTAATCTCAAAATTCCTTCACCGAAGTGGGAAAACCAAATTTCTTTCTCTCTCTCTCTCTACTCGTTACTCACGGTTCGTCGTATAATGTCGCAGGGGTAGGTTGTTATCAGATCGCTTGGTGTACCTAACGAACATCCCCACATGTTCGTTACAGTTACGCGGATTACGGGACGGCAAATTCACTATGAGATGAAAAAAAACAAAACGTGAATATATCAAAAACTTTGTATGGGCGAGTATTCATATTTTGATTGATCTCGATCGGTGGCGGTAAGACAAGTATTAAAAAAAATTGAAATCGGACCAGTATTTTAGGAGGTATTGAGCAAAACAGTTTTTCACAAAAAGTTAAATATCTTCTAAACCACTTGGTCAATTTCGCCTACTCATCAAGTCATTCTGTAATATCATAAGAGCTACAATCGAACCAAATTTTAATATTCTGTCTCAATTTTTTCGGGAGTTATTGTGTATATATCAATTTAATGATAAAAATGAAAAATTCTAATTATCATCAAACTGTCCCTAGTTTTGTAGGGATATTATGACTTGATTTGATAGATATCATAACAAGCAACACTTTGCCGTCGTAAAAATTCAATTAGATGACTTAGTTTTTGAGACAATGAGGAAAAACAGTTTTTGAGAAATTGCTATACCTCAAAAACTAATTGACCGAGTGGGCTGAAACTGTGCCCAGAGCTGTTCCCAAATGATAGCAATTATGTGACAGAATTTCAGCTTTATAGCTGCAACTTTACTTGTCTTTTTGTTGAGATTTATAAAAAATTTCCGAAAAATCTGCACACACATGCGGAGATACATACACACATTTTCTAAAAACATCATATTTTCACGTTTCATGACATTCTACATTATTTCCAAACAAATTAGAAGATCGTAAAAATGACCGATCACAAGGCTTTCATTTGGAAGTAATATTTAAAAAAAAACAAACAAATTTAATCACGGAATGTATCAGGAGGCTACACCAACCTCCTAAAAATTCACCAATCCCCTCCAATTGGTACTTAGGCATATTAAGGGCATATATATTAAGTAAAAAATTAATTTTTCCCGTTTTTTACGGAAGAAAAATCGCATCCAAAAAATATTGTATGAAGCTAAAAATTGTCATCAGAAAATATGTCAGGGGGCTTCCACAACCCCTTGAAAAATCATCAAACACCTCCATTGGTACTTTAGGGGGATAATGGTGTATAACTGATGATGTTCAACTCCATCATATTCATTCACTCAAGGATGGATCAAGGGAATTTGGAGTAAATTAATGCGACACTAGTTAAATTGTTATTTACGCGACGTTTCGCTGACATATTTCAGCTTCCTCAGGCTCTGGAAAATTACAATTACAAAATCCCATCAAAAAACCAACAGAAATACCCAGGCCTATCCAACTGGGTCTAAACCTCAGCAATAACCTCCAACAACAATTCATCGATCATAAAGTCTAACTAATTTCATTCTATCATACAAAACAAACATTAATGAAACGTCAAATGAAACACAAACTGTACCTTGACATAACTAGCGTGTGGTCAACTTAATAAATATGATAATCATATGGGAATTCAGAACTCGCATCG